ATGAATAATCACTGGCAAAGGCTTGTGAATACATTATATAAAAAAATTAAATATTTTCATATTTTATACAAGTATTATACATATATTTATTACAGTATACACACATACAGAGAAAACACTTCATAAATGCAACGATTATATACATATAAAAAAAATACTCGTTAACTACCATTGTATACATTAATCAAATATATGATATAATATATAATATTTTTTTAAAAAACTTGAGCTTTTCAGTAATGCAATTCATTATAAAATAAAACAGTTTTTTATTTACTGTAATTTTTATTTTCATCATCATTGGACACATAAAGGATGGGTAGTGGCAGTGATTAAATATAAGTAACAGTATTTACAGTTATTTAATAGATAAAAGAAGATTTCATACAATTATACAATATTTACAGTATAACTATGGCTACATTTTTTAAAGAGGCAATCTCTATGTTTGTTTGTTATGCAAAAAAATTTAATTTATTTTATATCAATTTTTTTAAATAATTTTTTTCCACAATTTTCTAAATTAATAAATAAAATGCACAAAAATTGTTTTTTTAATAACTATATTGCATAGTTTAATACAGCAGATAAATATTTTCTATCAAAAAATAAAATAAAATTATATTACATTATTTTTACCAAAAAAAAGTAATTAAAATTCAAAATTATTAATTTAGATGATAAAACTTTTAATACTTAATTTTAATTAGATATTTTAAACAATATATTTATTAATGACATTCAATAATAAATTAAAGAGTAGAATCTAATTTAATATATTTTACTTTTAGTTATATCTCTATTTATTTTTATTTGTAGTCTAAAATGAAATGCAAATAAATAAAATAAATAAATGTTTATAACATAATAATAATACTAATACTATTGGAATAAAATTTACAGTAAAGAAAAACAAGTATTTACATTAAATTTATTTTGATTTATTGTTATTAAGTATATTATTTTTGAATTATAACTATCTAATTAAATAAATAAACAGAATATTCTGCAATAATTTATTTAATAATATATTTAAAAATAATAACGTATTAATACTTTAATCTTGCTTTAACTTAACTAAAATATTAAATAAAAATTTAATACTTTATGCTTATATTTACATATTTAATATGTTTTTTTTCTTTATCAGTCTATAAAAATATTTTATAATTTTTAATAATCATATATATTTTTTGCAGTTAAAAATCAGATGATTGTAGATTTTTTTTTGTATACATAATATATAATATAAAAGAATAAGGTATTATATAT